TGCGATAGAGTTTTCCTCAAGTGCGGCGCCGCAGGTGCGCCCCATTGTCCGCAGAAGCGAAAATCGTTGGGGCAGCGAGGTTCATTTAATGTCGGGACTTAGGGTTTTTGGCTCATTTTCTTTCACTTATTGGGCAATTTTAGAGTTCTTTGAAGAGCGGTTTTCACCTAGCACTTTGAGGTAAGTAATTTCTAAACAATATGAGTTTAATACATGCATTTTTGGGTAGATTCTTAACATATAAAATGGAGAAATTATGGGTTTAGTTAAAAAACTTAGGTTTTGATAAAAATGGGATTTAACCACGAAAATGATTGTGGAATTGGGTAAAAATTATACATTTGAGTTCGTAAGGTTATGGGTAATATTTATCTTCGAAAATTTTCGGAATCCGAGCACGTAGGCCCGGGGGTGACTTTTAGGAATATTCCAATTTGGGTTGGGTAATTACTCTAATAGTTAAATTATGAACTTGTGAGTGTATATTGAATAATTTATATAATATTTGACTAGTTTCGGGTTGTTTGGCACCAAGTTGAGGATTTAGAGCAGATTTGTGGACCGGAAGTGAGCTTGAAAATGAGGTAAGTCTCTTGCCTAATCTTGTAAGAGGGAACTCATCCCCTTATATGTATCTTGTTGTGTATTACTTGTGTGGGGAGCTACGTACACACTAGGTAACGAGAGTCCGTGCGTAACTATATTCCATGAGATGTTCGGGTAGTCTTAGATCCACATAATGCTTTAATTGTACGGTTGTGTTTATTATGCATATTAATTGTCTTGAATAGAGCTGAGACTAGGGATTTTAAAGTTGCAAATTTTCAAATCAGATTTCTTATTTTGGGGAAGAATTGAGGAATACATAATAACTCTGAGAAATCCATGTCCTCTCGCGTCGCAAGCACTTCCGCGAGCGAGGTAAACTTCTCTACTCTCATGGGAGCGGGTCGTTCGCCTCGGTAGTATGATAGATGCATCTATGGTTCGAGCCATTCAACCATTGGCAGTGCATACAGTATTTTGGATCGGGTCGTACGACCTCGGCATAAATCGTACGTGATAATACTGGAAGCCCGATTACACTTGATATTATTTTATGGCTTGAGAAGTTGTAATTTATTTAATTACCGAAATTGATTTGGAACTAGTAAGTGTTAGTTGGAGACTTTGGAATTTACTAACGGTTAAAGAATCATTTATTCATTGTTTGTTATTGTGTTATTATTATTATTCACATATTCCATGCCTATTTAGAATTTCTGTATTTTATTTGCTGGCCCATAGTAAGTGTCGATGTCGACCCCTCGTCACTACTTCTTCGAGGTTAGACTAGATACTTACTAGGTACATATTTTTTATGTACTCACGCTATACTTCTGCAATAATCATGCAGGATCTGAGGCAGGTGCATCTGGTGTCCATTCAGGCGCGCACCCCGTTATCCTGAGGAATAGTCTCTCTGAGCCCGTTCTGCAGCACTTGTAGTCTCTCTTTTGTATTTATTTTCTGTCTATCCTATTTCAGACAGTAGCATAGGTGTTTTGTATATTTTACTAGTTGCTCATACACTTGTGACACCGGGTCTTGGGAATATGATAGTAGACACTTTATGGCTTTTGAGTCATATTTGCTCTTTTATTAATTTACGCTTTACTTTATTAAATTTTCCACTTCTCATTTACTTAATAAATAAAAAAATTATTCAAAAGAATAAATGATTGGCTAGTTCACCGTTGGTTTGTCTAGTGACGACGTTGGACGCCATTACGACCTATAGAGGAGATTGGGTCGTGACAAAGATGTTATACTTAGCTTTTTAAATTGTTTTTCAAACTACATTCTTTAGGCACTTCCCTGTTGGAGATCTAGAGATGGAATTTTTTAATGGTGAGAAAAGCAAGATGGTAAAAATCATAGATCCTCATAGAAGACATTTTAGAAAATACTCACCCTCAAGAAATAAAGTAATTGATTTTCAACATTGATAATAGTCGTTTGGTAGATTATATTTGCCTTTTGGCATTGGCTATTTTGTCAAATATTTTATCTATTGAAGCTTATAATTCCTTATGCCTAGCGATATTTCGATGCAAATATTTTAGTTTCAGATTTCAAATACAATAACACGATTTTGATACAATGAAGCTCACTTCTGAGACTCAGCATTTGAGTTGATGGTAATTTTATTTATCAAGTATATATTTTGACAAAACTATTTATTTGTTAGTTCAATGAGGTTGTGGCTCACTTGCTACACCCTCCAGCAGATATTGCTTTTCTGTAGTCATGAATTCGAGAACTGCACTGTTGAAATTGTTAATTTGTATACTGAAAATTTTAGCTTGTTGTATAATTATTTGTATTAATTAGTTTAGCTTATATACTCTCTTTTTTCAGTATCTTGTTTGTAGCAACTTTGTCGGTCAAATTTCTTAGAGTTACCATAAGATTTTTAAGTTGGTTAAATATATTTTGTTAAAATTGCTAACTTGTTGAATTTGCTAATTTATAGAAAGATTTTTAAAAAAAATAAAAGTAAATAGACTTTTTTCTTGATTTTTCCCCCCAACTTTTTAAGAAAATATTAAATGAAATCATTTTTAGGTTATATGATGAATAAAAGAGAGTCGTGCGTAAATTCTGTTTACCAGTACACTTAATGGGTCGATTGGTAGGGTGTATAATAATAATAATGAATAAGGTGTATTAGTAATGCATGGGTTAGTAATGCAAGCATTAGTTATGTATTTCTTATCCACTGTTTGGTGTGATATATTAAAAATTGAAATGCATCGCATAATTTTTAAGAAAATTAGTTGTTTACGAAAATACCCGCCACATTCTTTAGCTTTAAGGGACTTTAAGGACAATTTTGTCTTTAACGATGCTAATGCATGCATTAATAACCTTGATATTGTTAATCCCATGGTTTGCTATGTATTAGTTATACATAGGATAATACTAAATAGGTTGTATAAATTCTTGCATTAGTAATACATAAGTTAAAAAAGTGTACCAAACAAGGAGTTAGTAATACCAAAAGTTAATGTATGCATTATTTTTTCTAATGCATCCTACCAAACGACTCATTTATATAATTGATTATTGTATGCTTACACAGTTGACTACCGTGATTTTTGACTGAATCCACTTATATAAAATCGTCTGTCACTGAGTGTGGACAATTAAACTAGTGTTATTGAATTAGAGAGACAGTCTCTATTGAATGATATATAACTACAACTGTCAAGACAACGTCCTAGGAACAGTGTTATAAACGTGGCATTTGCCACATATGTCACACCCTTAAATCTTTTTCCCTTTGTTTAATTATGTGATTTTGTTGATGCTACTATGTTCAGAGAATAATAGAGATACTATTTTCTCCCCCTAAATTGGTGAGGCAAAAGCCAACTTATTATTATGTCGTTTGTAGGGTTGTACATATATCGGGTTGGTTCGAATTTTTTAATTACCAAACCAAACTAATGGTGTCGGATTTTTAAATCTATAAACCAAACCAAACCAACTAAGTCGGGTTTTTCAATCTCGATTTTTCTCGGGTTTTTCAATTTTTTTCAGGTTTTCGAATTTTTTTCCGGTAAAGTCTACATAGCACAAAATATGTAACTTATGCTCCAAATATTTCTTTAGTCCTAGTAAGATACAACTATATAATATATTTTCCAAGAAAATAACATAATAATATAAGATAAGTCATAGCATTATACTAAAATATTCAATAACAAAAGTAATAAAATTGCAGAAAGCAAATATTGCTAATTAATAAGCCATAATAAAAATTAACATAATCTAAAAATACTATATAGGTCATGCTAACATAAGTGTAGTTAATAAGTACTATTAATTACATAACTAAGCACTAAAGAAAAAGATAAACTAAGTTATGCATTTTCATTATAAACCAATATAAAACTAAAAAATAGATATCCAACACTATCGACATTCCTAGTGTTGAATTGAATTTCTTTTGTTAGCATTAGTATTGATTTGAATTTTGTTTGATTTACTACATTTATGGGCTATAACATTTATTTACCATTCAAGAATGTTAAATCAAAATTTGAAATAATACGTTAAAAGATAAAACTGTGAGAAAGTTTAAAAAATATTTATAAATTATATTACAATAAATATTTATATGTATAAAATATTTTTAAAAATTGTATAAATGTACTATCGGGTTGGTTTGGTTTCAGTTTGACTTTTTTTAGTTAAAACCAAACCAAACCAATTATGGTCGGATTGTTTTTCCAATACCAAACCACAATCGAATTTTTTTTTCCGGTTTGACTCGGATTATCGGTTTGGTGCAATTTATCAGTTTTCTTTGTGAACCCCTAGTCGTTTGTATTGAGCTCTACAATATTGTTATAAATTGAATTTAACTAAAAGCAATAATACAAAGTCATAGGGAATTAGGCCAAAAATCTCTACGAATCAATCTTAGAGTCGTCAATATGGGCTTGGCCCAACCCCGTAATTTAGCAGTGTTGAGCTAGCATTTCTAGAGCCCATTTTAAAATGAGCCTTTTAAGCCCAACTTGAGTAAGCCCGTGAGGCTTGATTGAGGCTGGGCTGGACCAGCCCGTGGGCCTAATAAAAATATTTATTTAAAATATATAAAATATAAAATGCATACTACCTCTAGCGATGGAAAGTCAGAATTGAATCTTTACTTAGAGGAACCAAAACTTGATCTTGAGAAGTTTCAAGAGATGTATTGGAAGGACCATTCTAGAAAATATCCTGATCTTTCAGTGATGGTGCGTGATGTATTCAGTATTCCTATTACTACTATAGCATATCAACATTTAGCATTAGTGGGCGTGTTCTGACAAAGTACAAAAGTTGCATCCATCATGAAAATGTCCAAACATTTGTTACTACTCGAAATTGGCTGCACGACTTTTCCCAAACTCAAACTGGTAAAGTAATTTTTTTATGTGAACTATTGTACATGGTTTAACGGATTCTCGCAATAAAGTCATTTTTCAATCATAAAAGAAATTATACATCTGACTCCCACTGTTTGGAGGTTCCTTTTCCCTCATGAAAGTGCAGTTCCTAAGGACTAGTGGTGCACAATTCAAAACTCAAAAGATAATAGATCTACCCCTCTATCTACTCTTTTGCACTTAAATACAGGGATTTTGTTAGCAACAAGGTTCGAACACATACCGTTTGCCTACCTTACATATGCGTTACCAGTTGACCAAAGCCCTGGAGCCCTGAAAATGATCTGTTATTTCATGCTGAGCTAGAGTTCCAATTGTACAGTCTGTATGGTAAATAAGGCCGTGAAAATCTCTTTATGATAGTTGACACTCGGCAAATTGCTTATAAAAATGGTATTTCAAGGGGGGCTAAATTATCTCATCCTTGGTACATGAAAAGGGGTTACTTTGAGCAGAACAAACATCTGTGCCTCCAAGGATAAACTGAGCATACAGTTGGGATTTTACCCTTCGAACTTCGTCTTCTATGCATGGACTGCGTCTAAAAAACGGTATTTCGTGCAGCGGAACTTACATTTGACCTGCTGCAAGGGTATCCATCATTGTATATGATGATACCTAAACTTTTGGAATAAAAGAAAATTATGTTAACCAAGCAGAAATTGGGCACCGAGCAGCAGTAGTTACTAACCAATTTTCATTGGAAGAGGATTTCTAAATCATGTGATGTAATATCTCGTCAATAGTATTTTCATCTGCATCTCACACGGGCTAAAACTTATTTTTTATGTCAAAATTCAACTATCAACAACTTGCCTCTCACAGGGGTAAAAGAAAAGATGCAGTTATTATAACTAGGATTAAAAAACATTGGTTTTACCTTTTGTACCTAAAATCTCGGAGGCATTTAAGATGGTATTCATGAGACCTTGAGTAACTCATGGAAAGCTTCTTGGGGTATATCGACAGATCCCACTCGTTTCATTCTCTTCTTCCCTTCTTTCTGTTTCTCCAACAACTTCTTCTTCCTTGTAATATCACCACCATAACACTTTGCCAGAACATTTTTTCTCATAGCAGAAAGCCTGGAACAAGAAATGTAAATCAAACAGCTACAACAAAAGTTACCTATGTGAAACCTCAAAAAACACACATAGTATACTGATGAAAACTACAGCTTATTGATTGAACCATTACTTTTCTCCTTCTGAAAGATACAAAAGAGGAAAAGGGAAGAAGGGTGTGAAATCACAATTTCCCTTTTCCAACACTTAAAAGTCTGAGATTTAAAAAGGTATCACCATCCCGAAAGAAAATTCCTTTGTTAGTGATTCGGCTTTCTATCTTTGAAAAGATGATGAAATTTTGAAGAAGCTACTTTAGGTAGATTCCCCGCACTTCAAAAAAATTTCTACTTGAAAAAGAAGGGG